AGGCCACCACACTGGCCAAGCAGCGAAGGATCGTGTCTCGACATACAGCAGATGCGGCATCGAAATCATTAGCCACCTCTATAGCTTTGCGTCGACATGCATGGCTCAGATCGATCGGCCTTTCTGACAGTGCGAAATCTTAAATTGAAATTTACCTTTCGACAGCACAGGTCTCTTCATTCAGAAGACCGATGAAGCTATGGATAATCTTCATAAAATAAGGAAAACTGCATGATCACATTCCTCTCAACAGCCATTTAAATTCCAACACCCTCAATATTGACATCAGCAGTTTTACGAGCAATCATTTCAGCACCAATCATATCAAAGATTTCAGCCCTACCAACAATACCAACCTCAATCAACAAACAAGTCATTTCAAGGTCCCTCACCTCCAGTATCATCTTCCTTCCGAAACCGGCAACAGTCACAACGACGCCAGCCCTTTCATCCATCTCAGAAAAAGGGTAAGCAATACCCATGATCTCCGACTACCAATATACAATTTTCAACATCAATTTCTTTCGTTCAAATTAATGATCTTAACTAATGATTAGGGGGTCCTCTTCGTTATCCAGTAAGGTTACTTTATAGAGTTTCATTCGCTTCCACCGAATGGAAAAATTAAAACTAACCCATACTCTACAGTTCTTCAGGAAGAAGTCTCTTCGCTTTTTCAAAAACGTGCCATAATCTCAGTCCCTTCATCTGACATAGGTGGTTTTTATTTGAGATATTTCACAGTCCCCCAAAAGAACAGAGAACTCTGTGCCATCCTCGATCTCAGGCACCTCAACAAATTCATTCGACCTCGACGATTCAGAATGTTGACTTTAGACACTATCATTCCTCTACTTTTGCAGGGAGACTCGTTCGTCATGATCGACCTCCAGGATGCCTATTTCCACTTCTCGATTCACCCATGCCACCACAAGTACCTGTGGTTCCATTTCGACATAATCTCTTATTAATTCTGCTCTCCCCTGTTTGGTCTATCCACAGCAGCAAGGACCTTCACGAAGTGCATGGCACCAGTCACAGCACATCTTTGGCTTCAGGGCATAAACATCTTCCCCTGTATTGACGACTGGCTGATAGTTGCAACATCAAATCACAATGCCATCAGAGCCACCACCATCACGCTCAACACACTTTAAAATCTCGGTCTCAAGGTGAGCTTTACAAAATCGCACCTCGAACCAGCCCGAACAGTTACTTACATAGGATCCCTCTTCGACTCCTTATAGGCCAGAGCGTTTATCCCTCAGGAAAGAATCTTAAAATTAAAGAACACCATCCAATTCTTCCGAACTTGAGCTTCCATAACAGCCTGTCACGTCCAACACCTCTTTGGGCTCATGGCATCTACAACCTCCATTGGAGGTTTGGAAAACTCCCTCTTTTTTGGGGGAGTGACTCTCACCACGAAGAGTGAGGTTCGCAGCTTGGGAGTACATCTGGATCCGGCGCTTACCATGGAAACCCAGGTGGTGTCAGTGATCCACTCTGCCTATTTCCATCTGTGGCGGATTGCCAAGCTGCATCCATATCTTGATGGCGGGGTCCTCACCACTCTGGTCCATGCACTTGTAATCTCGAGGTTAGACCACTGTAATGCGCTCTACATGGGGCTACCTTTGAGTTTGATGCGGAAGCTTCTAATGATGCAGAATGCGGCGGCTAGACTTCTTAGTGGGACGAGAAAATACCAGCATATCTCTCCCACTCTGGCTGCCTTGCATTGGTTGCCCATTCGTTTCCGTGTTGATTTCAAAGTGTTAATGATGACATATAAAGCCCTAAACGGTTTAGGACCTCGATACCTAGTGGAACGCCTTCTCCCACCTAGATCTACTGCAGTCACTCGCCTTAGCCAGGAAAGATGGCTGAGGGGCCCGGAAAGAAAGAACAAGAAACCGTGCCTTCTTGGTAGTGGCCCCTCGACTTTGGAACAGCTTGCCATCAAAGATTTGCCTGGCACCCTCGCGGGGTGTTTTTAAGAGCCAGTTAAAGACTTGGCTCTTTAGGCAGGCCTTCTCTCCTGTCAATACTTAACTTCTTACTTTAGCTTTTTCCTCACATTGCCCATCTTGAACAATACTAATACCATTGACTTAAATTGTTTTAATGGTTTTATTTATTTATTTACTTATTTATTTACTTATTTATTTAACTTATATGCTGCCCACTCTACCCAAAGGTCTCTGGGTGGCTTACAACAATTAAAATACAATTAAAATGCAATAAAAGATAAAACGATTAAAATACAATTAAAATAGATA